TAAACTAGATACTCTAAGTTAAATTTAAGAAACAATATTATACTCTTTTAGTAACTTAATATAGAATTTTTAAGTCAAACAGAATTATTGCCAACAGTTTGTTACTATTGATTATTCTGAAAAATAATAAATTGTTAAAGTTGATACTAAGAAAAAAGAGAAAAAGAAATACAATTTAAAGTCCTTCAAAAGATTTTTGCTCCATTTCACAATTTTTTTTTAAAAGGGATTTGCCTGATTGAAATATTCTTTAAGCTTTATGACATTTGAGAAACTTGACCATTCCTGGAAGTAACTTCAAGAAGAATATTTGAGGAACTTATTCTTTTACTAATATATGAATTCATTTAATATTATTGAAGCCAGTACTATATTACAGAAGATTTTGTCTAATTGGGATAAAAAAATCTTTTCAAGAACTTTGTTTAACTGCAATAGAAGTTTAAAAACTTTAACTTTTATTCAAGAAAGCCTTTTTACTATCTAAGGAATATAATAAGAGATAAGAGTTATATTTTCCTTTTTTACCTGTTACTTATTTTTTAGTATTATAATTATTTCCTAGAGATTGAATATATGCTATTGGAGGGGATACTTTTTCTAGAACTTTTTTTTCTATATTATCAATAATATATTAAGACATATGAGTATGATCAATAGGAGCTTATTTATATTTCAAACACTGACATATTTTATATCAACCAATCACCTTTGATAAGAATTTGTGCTACTTAAAATCAGAATCAAACTGAGATAGATAAAAATTTCCTAGAAAATCATAAAAATGAGAACTCTAAGAGAGTCAAGACAAACAAAAAGGGAGAAAATAAGTCTTTTTACTGCAGAAAACCTCTATAAACCACTTGCTTCGAAGGTTAAAAAGACTTTTAGATACTTTATAGTTAGTTCTTCTTCCTTTGGAAACTTTCTTGCCATTGGTATCAAAGGTATTATTTAATTTTTCTTAATCACTAGAAATCAAGTTTTTGAATGAAGATATTTATAAACAATAAAAGAAAAGTAGAAATGACTCTTAAAGTCATACTTCAAGTTGTTTTAAGGAAAGTGTTAAGACTTTATTAGAAAGAAAGTGTAAAAACTTCTTGCAAACATCTTTTTTTGTATGTAATCAGAGGATTAATAGAAAGAGTTTTTTTTATTTTTTAAATAAACAATATTAATTTAATTAATAAAATAAATAAATATATATATATAATTCTATTAATTATATTAATTCTATTTGATTTAATTTGATTAAGTTGGATTTTAATTTTAATTAATTTTTTTTTAGATTTATAAATGTTCTTATTAATGCATAAAAACAATTTTATTAATCAATAATACAAGAATATAATTGAAATTCATTTTTCCTATAAAATGAAATACAAGATTGTTTTTAGAAAAAATTCAAACTCTTTTTTTTCACAATTTATACAATACAATGCTAGCGATGGAAAAAGAAGTGGATTGTCATCTTAGTAATTGTCCAATATAATCTAATAATATTGTTAAGAAACATTGCAAATGTTTTATTAACAAAAAGAAATTTTTTTTTAAAAAATTAAAGATTAAAAGATTAATATGAAAAATCAAATTTAATAGTGATCAAATTCAGAATCTTTGATTAACTTAAAATGTTTGAATGCTGAAGAAAAAAGGTATTATGAGAATTTTTAACAAAATTATCATTGTAGTTATTGAGATGTCAAATAGTAAAATTTCAACTACCGTAGCATTAAAAAAATTAAACTTAATATCTAGTGCATTGTATTAATTTAATGGAAACCACAACTCCTATAATGTTCCAATACAAAAATTTGCGTATTTTACAAACCGTGGTAATTGATAAATCTTTTTAAGTGGCGAAATCTTTATTTCATGTTAGGTCTTTTCACGAAGATTTCGTCGACGTAATTTTTTAACATCCCTGATTTTCATTGACGAAAATATATTTCGTGTGAACATCCTAATCGCAATCAAAAAATGAGCCTAGTTTCTAGAACGACTAGAGATGCCAGTGCTCACTTATCAAACCATTAGATGATCACGAGCGCGTGGTTAATAAGGCGACATGAAGTTCGCTAAACGATTGACAGCTAACCTTCTTGCGATTTGTGATTAACATTGCGATCCTTTTTTAGTAAATTCTGCTTAACATCTTGCCAACGAACCTTGCACATTCCCGCGTCTTCGTTCCAGTGCATCATTGGGGGCATCATCCCGATCACAATTGGATTATTATCCTGACCACAACATGACTGACACACGTTCTCAACCTCACAGAAAGATTTTCTCGGCTCGTCCAATACAAATTTACAACCATGACACACCACCTCGGATGACGAGGGTGGTGGGGATGGCAGATCAGGTGGTGTCTGCTGGATGCAGATGTGAGCATCGGAACTCGGTAGGTATTGGTCGCAGGCTGAACAATGATATGGAAAAAATATTGGCTTTGGTGGCAATCTTTGCGAGATCGGATCTAGCGCCTAAAGTAAAGTATCAACCGAGTTAACCTTAAAAAGAGTCTTGTGGAAAGTCGCATTCTCGAAGAAATCGATTGTGAAACTTGAAAAAATTTTTAATTTAATTTTTTTTGTTTTTTACCCCTTTCGAAGAATGTTCGTAAAATTCTAGCCTGGATAGTTCATGACCGAGACACGTGCAGTTATTATGACAATTAGATGGAACTATATTGTTCAACATAGGTCGAAAAACTGGCATAAGCATACAATGAACCTTGAAATAAGGACAAGATCCGGCCATGTGTTTGTTCAATTCATTTTTTGTAGCGAAAGTTGGACACTCCCAAAGAAGGGTGTGAATTATTGCTGATGGTAATTTGCTCGATTTCAGTTTCAATTTCAGGCTATTTAAACTGGATTGTGTGAAAGGAAATCAAGACAATTAACATACTTTCTGAAATTATTAAATTCCTATCTTGACGATTGGAAGGAGAGTTCAGGTGCTTACTTTTTCAAAACCTGTATCTTTGCAATTTCTTTCAAAGATGGTGCGCAATTAGAATCAACCAATGATAAAGAAAATTCAGCATAACGATCCCCAAAAATTTTCCAATATGGTTGTTCAAACTTAACAGAGGCACTTCTAAAGGCAACGAAAGCGGGACACGATAATCTTCGATTAGGGCATATTATCTGGTGGTCCTATTAAGATGGCCAGAGATCGTTTAGAAAAAAACCTTTGAGGGAACTATTAAGAGTGGGTGTTGCTGAACTATTCACCTGCCAATCTTCTTTCTTAACCTTGCTTGTGCACACGCAAAGTATGGGAGCATCGGAACCTTCGGAAAATAGGTTTGTTACCAGTTTGAAATCTCGCTGCTGCTGCATTATCTATTGCGGAAAGCACACACGCATCACTCCAATGTGATACTTTATTAATTGGGTCACACGAAAAATGGTGACACGCCCAATTGAGGATTTTTCCGTGTCCTAATCAAAAAATTTTTTTCCAAGTCATGCCATTAATAATCATGTGCGGAATCCCTTCTAGCGGGAAGACCACCTGCGCGAAAAAGGTAGAACGATACTTCGTTGACAAATTTGCGAGTCAGGAGAAGACCGGTTTGGTGCACCTGATTAACGACGAGTCTTTAGGAATCAAGAAGGATAGTTATAAGGGTAAAACTTACTTTATCTCGCGCATTCGGAGAAAATGCGGGAGGGAGGAATTGAATTGTCACATTAAAGCCTCTCTTGCACAACAAATAGACACGCGCATTGAAGAGAAAAAAACCAGAGCGTCGTTGATATCGGCTGTGGAGCGTTTGATCTCAAAGGATAGTTTGCTGATCGCCGATGGAATGAATTACATCAAAGGATTTCGATACCAATTATATTGTATCGCGCGAGCCATTGGCACTCCGCACTGTGTGGTGAGAAAGTTTTTTTTTTTAGAAGACAGTAAGTAAAGTAATTTATCTGCACATGCACACGTGTATATTTTTAATTTGCCAGGTATATTGCGGAACACCGGTGGATGCTGCGAGAAAATGGAATTCCGGTCGTGGTGAAGAGGGATATGAAACGAGTTTGTTAGTATTCGCGCGGGAATAAAAAAAAAAAAACGAGAAGGCGTGAATCAGGGTTTTAAATGATTTGTTTGATCAATTGCAGGTTTGATGAGCTCGTTAGCAGGTTCGAGGAACCGGATGACCGAAATCGATGGGATTCACCACTCTTCACGGTCATATATGATGATGAGGCGTTGCCACTTGAGGGTATATGGGACGCTGTTATCGTCAGAAAAGCGAAACCGCCCAACTTATCAACTGTCGCGGTGCGCCTAGATTCTTCTTATTCTTCTGTCTTCATCACACCACAATTGAGCTTAACACCTTTTTTTTCTTTTTTGATAGAAGCCCATTAGCGAAACGAATTATCTCTATGAACTCGAGAAGATCACCCAGGAAATCGTCAATGCAGTGTTAGAAGCACAAAAACACGATGTTGGGGCAGGTGCCGTAACCATACCCAACGTAAGCCAACCAATATCCTTTCAATTTGATAGAATATAAAAAATTTCGAGTTGAGAATTTAAATCAAATCTTTAATGAAACAAGAATACATAAATCTTCCATCCCGTATGGTAACTCTCTCGGAGCTAAGACGTCTAAGGAAACAGTTCACAAATATTAATAAGATGCACACACTGTTAAATATGGAGCGGGTGGCCGAGTTATTTGTGGAGTACCTGAACACGAACATCAATCGATAATACTGTAACATTCAAAAACGGTTATGATTATAAAATCCGAGTTAGTAAGCCTCTAAATTAAGATCATTTCTACGCCTTTATGATGCCAATTCTTTATTTGAGAATGTTTTCCCGTCGACTCAAAGGGTCATTACGTTACACGTATTACGCATTCTCCAGCTCGGAGTCAAAACCTTTGGATATTGTAGGATAAATTAAAAATTTAATATGGTACTATTACTAGGTTCTCCCAAATTTCAGGTGAAATTAGAAAGGGGTTGGTCATTTGACATTGTATAATTTTGGTAATTCCAAGTTTATCATTGCATGCCTCACAGTAAATTTAACATATCGGTAAACAAAGCACATGTATTATCGCGCCCGCTGAGCATATTTTCTAATGCGTTTTGTTTCCCAATTGAGATTACGTATTTGAGAGATGTGATCATGATTTCTTCTAAACACATCAACAATAACCATTCCAAATGGAACGGTGATTGAATGAAATAGAAATGGATAAATGCAATTATTCTTGTGGTTAGCTTAAGACTCGGTGTATGAATGCGCGAATATCTCCAAAATCTTATAAATTTGGGTGTTTATCGCGTAGCGTGTTTAATCATAAAAATTTTCCGCCATGAAATCCCCCTAACACTATCTCCAAACTCTAAGCTCCTTGTATGAATAAGCAAATCAATTCTAAGCTCTTCTCTATGATCATTCCTTTCATAACCCCTAATCTATAGGCGGAAAATTTTAATTGCCTCATTTCAGGCACTGGATCCAATAAACACCATAATTTAATTAACGATTTAACACATACCGTCGGCTCAATTTAATGTCCAAGACGGCAACTCAATAATGTTCAATGACAACTCAACTTACAGACACGAAACAAAAAAAACGAACGGCGCCGCCCAAAGCAAAATAATAATTACAATACAATCGTCGTAACGAAATGTAGCGACTTGAAACAACTAAAAAAGAAAGTTAGGGCTTCAACTAAAAAAAAGAAAGGACAAATGTCCGAAACAAATAAAAAAAATGAGGACCGGAAAATGTCAAGAGATAACAACTCAAAAAGAAATGTCAACGCAACAACTAAAAAATGATGACCGGAAAATGTCAAGAGACAAAGTCCGCAACAACTAAAAAAGTGATAATGTCAACAGGCAAAGGCCGCAATAACTAAAAAATGAG